ACCACCGTAAGCGACCTAGGCTGGCTAAAGCTCTTATTAAAAATCTATGGATATTCCTGAAATCCTATTTAATAGAAATCCGAAATTTTCGCCTCACTGTCAGAACTAATCATGCCATTCTAAAAGTAGATGAATGAAATCAGCCTAAACAAAATCGTACCGGACATTTTATCGTTTATAAACAGGTTTTTCAGGGTACATTTCATATAAAGAGAATGGTGGCATCAGGTCTGGCCTAGTTGAGATAATGCAAAAATGGTAAGATCAGAAAAATAGTATAAGCTGCCTGTTACCTACCGGCAGTAGAGACAAAAACTGGGAGATGACCAGCCGAAGCGACAAAGTAGATTGTAACACTAACAACTACTTTACTCCTCCATTGCCCCGTTTCCACAGCGTCTTTATCTGGTCTATTCTGCAAGGCGTATAGCAGATGACTGACAGGAGGGGCTTCCTGGCTAGAAACAAGCACTTGTAGCGACACTTGGTTGCCGACCCGTTGGTTGGCGGCTGCCGAGGCTGCAGTCGAGAAACGCAGTCGATTGGCCGAATAGACAAGCAATAAGAAACCCGTCTGCTCTTCAATGCGGAGGCCCGATGCCCGATCTTCAGCATCTCCTGTCTCGGAACCTTCGGAAAACTGCTGAGGGGAAGCATTGTACGACAGGAGGCTGTAGGTGAATCGGCAGCTGAATAAGCATAAGCGAAGCGGATGAGGATAACAAAGACAAAGAAAAATAAGTATTTGTTTACATTATATGCTTAAGTTATCCGTAGCAGCAGACTTTAACATGGTACATCAAGAATCCTTTCTTACCGAATCCATCTAATAGATGCTTTCCTTCGGCAGGACACTCGAGTATACGTGAATTAACCAAACCTTTATGTGTGCATTTATATCTAAAATGCTTCCCACAATGTGTGTACATATCACATGAAAAAAAGTCGGTCAGTTTTCCTGACTTAGTGTTAACTTGAGGCTTCTGCAAGAGTGAGTCCCAGCTCTGACGATGTTGGTGACATGACGAACGAACGCTGAGCCCGTCTTCGCCCGAAACGTTGGAGGATGTCTCGTGGACTGCATCAACCTGAACATAGTATTAGGGCTAACCGGATGCAGTACAGCGCGAATCAGCCGAGCTACACTCAAGCCCGGCAGTAGTCGCCGAGTGGTTCCATGGCCAAATTAAAAGGTACAGCTAACATTCGGACGATTTTACCCCTCACAGCAAGATAAGAATATAGATTGATTCGCTTGAAAGAGGTATAGTGAAATGGAGCCCAAAAAAAACGTGAGGTTCATATTGGAGTACCTTCATTTCGTTTGAAGAGGCGAGTGGAAGGTATTCGCAAGTTGGCCTAACCGAAAGCGGTAGGGGGATTGCCTTGAAGCTGTGACAAGATTTGTGTGAATACATCCTCGGGGTACCACCCTGCGACCACGATGAATCCATGCTGAGCTTCCGTCCGTCAAGTGATGGATATCATCAGCTGAGCTTCGCTCATCATATAACGGACTTCATCAATAAAGAAAATCATTCTCACAATCATATTAGTTAAGAAAGCCTATCGGTTTGGCCCCAACTGCTCTATGCATGCCCTAAATATATACATTTTAGTAGCTTGATGTATTAGGTACTGTATTTCTTTCTAGTAACGAAAACTTGAAGAGAAAAAAAAGTGTTGCCTTGATAGCTTACTATGTGTTCTAAAGGCACAAAAATTATGTTCGGTCTAACCACAGCAGTCCATTATTTAACTCATATATTACGTGGTGCTAGGGTTTGGACAAACTAAAATTAATACTCCAGCATAGATAATATCTCATACTTGGGAAGCCTAAAATGGTTAAATCTAATG